CCAACGTCAACAGGATCTTCCAAAGAGAAAAATCTTTGAAATTATGAGGAAATTTGTCAGGATTTCACACAGATAAATTAAAACCTAATTGAAGGGGGGGAAAAAAAGCCTGTTATACAGTATTTGATGGGTCAAATATAGCCAATTATAATTAAGCAATACTGGTTGTACAGGCTGGTGACCAGGGTGAGGAACTCACCACAGACCCCTGAGAATCCTGCACTGGAACTATCAGGAGAAATCCTTACCTTTCTCTAGGAGCTGGAAAAGCATGGATGGGCGGAATCCTGTGGGAACTGCTCCTATGGTGGTCAGTACCTGCACTGTGTCATGCTATTAAAACCAAAATTGTATCAGTGTTCCTGCCATAATTCAACAGCTAATTTAGAACTCTGTTTAAACCAGAGATCTGGTGCATGAGCCACCTCATCTGAAGCATTTCTGTGGCATTTCTTGCTACCAAACACCACCACCCCCCCAAGAAAATAGAGATGCTAATTAAAAAGAACAATCTGTAATATGAGACACCATGTTTGGTAAAAGGGCAAAGCTTATCTGCAGAATAATCAACATTATGAGAGGTGTAAGAGGTGCACCCACCTCTGTGATGGCTCGTACAGCACTCCAGTGAGAGTCTGTCCTGGAACAAAAACGGGGGTTTTTAGAGCATAGCCTTGTGGGGACAAAAATTTAAACACTAAATATGGGTCTGTTTTCAAATAGCAGCAGCTCCCTAACCATATCTAACACCTCAGAACTCCCCAACAAACCCACTCAAGAGAAAAAAAAAAAGCACGTGGCTCTTGTGCTGGAAAGAACCAAAGACCCCTGTGAGGTAAGAAATGTACTGCCAGGTTTAAGGAGGAGGAAGAATAATTTTATACTTATCTGCTTTCACATCACTCCTTTTACCTTCTTTTAATTTCAGTCCCATCTGCTGTTTCATCCACCACTTCTATGTGTTCCTCCCTCTCCTCCTGGCTTTCTTCCTCTTTCTTGGCAACCTGCAGTTCAGATTCAAAAGGGCAGAGGGCTTGATTTCTTCCCAGTTCTGTCCTTAAAAGTGCCCTCTCCAACCACAGCCCACGTTAATAGCTTAGAAAAGGAGAAATTCTGTCTGTGATGCATCACTGCAGCTGCAGGAAACTGCCCAACATTTACATGGACTCACTTTGCAGATAAATCATTAAAAAGCCCAAATTAATCCATAGCAGCTTGCAGTCATCAGAGCTGATCTTCAGTGACAAAGATGATGACTTCTATAGTCAAGAAACTTCTTGGCCACATCCTCACAAGGCACAAAAATGCTGCTTTTGATGGACATCTCCACCCCCGTTGGATAAAAACACGGCGTTATTTCCCCAAAACTGGCATTATTTCCAAACAACTGGCATTATTTCCAAACAACTGGCATTATTTCCAAACAACACACTCCCCACACGAGCACTGTGCCCAATGTTATGCAGCTGTATGATCATTGAAAGCCCAGAGGTGAGATAGGACAGAGGTCGCAGCACACCAACCGCAAGGTAGGTCCTGGGAACGAGGCCTCTCTCCCCCTTGGAATTTTCAGCCACCCACCAGCCATCCACCTTCTTGTCGTGGATAAGCAGGATTTCACCTTTCTTTGGCATTGGAAGGAGAGACAGAGACAAAAGACAACCAAATATTTACATTAAAACCCCACAAACCCTTGATTTTTTTCCTACAACAGAGATCCCAGACGCTGCCACGACAGAGGGTGGCAAAAGGACACTGGACTCCAAGAAAACTCCATTTCCCCCCAGATCCCACAAGGAACTGTGTGACTCCCAAAACCATAGGCTTTAGTTATAGTTATTGCTTAATATAGACTGGTCTGCAGTAAAAGCCCTTTACAGAGAGTATTTACCTCAAATGTGAGATCCCCTTCCTGCTGTGCCTCAAAGTTTCCAACAGCAACACATTCTTTAACGTTTGGATCATCCAACAACTTCTCCTCATCTTCTTCTTCTTCTTCACTGTCTTCCTCCTCACTACTTTCTTCATCTTCACTCTCCTCCTCTTCTTCATTTCCATCTTCTCCATGACGACCTTTCTGATGTTCCTCATCCCTACCCAAAACCAATCAGACTGTTTTTATTCTCCTTTTCACCAAACTTTTTGAAATTGCTGTCAGACACAGCGTTTTCAGTCCTGTGTTTTGCTCTCTGTCCTGAAGAAACTCCAAAATCCCAGCGGTGCTTCCTCCCTCCCTCTCCTCCAAACATTATCCAACACCCAGTGAGCCAGAAATCACCGATCTTGCGAGCACTTCTTTTTCTTTCCTTCTATTTTTCAGATAATAAAAGGGATGAACTAACAGCTTTTCAGGGTCCTTTCCAACCATTCTATAAAACCACAGGTTGTGTGTTTGAGCTACTCACACTCTGTAATACTTTGTCACGTTATCCTGACCCAAGACAAGGAGGAGTTTCTGCAGCTGCTGGGAGAGTTTTAGCAGCAGCTTCTCCTCTTCTTCCTTCCTCTGGCTGTAATTCCCCACCGGTGCGGGCTCGTCAGCCTGACAAAGAACACCACAAATTGCCCAAGGAATCAAAGTTCCCCTATAAATTTAGTTTTCCAGACATGCCTTACAAGCTTTCCCCTCCCTGGGCTGCTCTCGCTCCCTCTTTAGTGACATTTTCCTCACCCTTTCAAACTCTGCCAAGGTGAAATTCCACGTTAAAATTTGAATTGCACTCTCTGCTTCCAAAGAATGCATTGGGCTGATAAAACATTTTACGTGCAGGACTTGGACGCAACAAAGCATTAAAATAACATAAATTGATATAAATAATATAAATTGGAGAGAAGCCAAGCAGGGACTGTGCTGTGCTGGGCACTGCTCTTGTCCTGAGGTGCATCTCAAATGGAAGGTTGGTGGTCTTTAAATGCTTTCCCTGGTGAATTTTGGAGGAAACCACAAACAAATTCATCTCCACACTCACTTTTTTCAAAGCATGGAGAGCACTTGTATTCTCCTCCACCAGTTTCTTCAGCTGGATACATCTGCACGGAAAGCAAGACAGACAGATGGTATTTTCTTAAAATTCTGCCCCAAACTGTCCCTGCTGACTGAAAGGCGTCATTTTAGGTGCTGTGTGTCCGGGCAGATTGAGAATTCCAAGCCCAAACAGCAGCTTGGCTGATTATTCCCTGCGAGGTGCAACCTCCCACTTGCATTTGGCAGAATCCCAGCGTAGCTGGGGTTGGAAGGGACCTCTGGAGATCATCCAGTGCCAAGGCAGGGTCACCTGGAGCAGGTGGCACGTGTCCAGGTGGGTTTGGAATGTCTCCAGAGAGGAGACTCCACACCCTCCCTGGGCAGCTCTACCAGTGCTCTGATCCCTCCATGGAAAGAAGTCGTTCCTCATGTTGAGGTGGAATTTGTGGTTTAGTTTATGGCCATTGCTCCTCATCCCGTCACTGGGTGCCACTGAACAGAGTTTGGCCCCATCCTCTGACACCCCTTGGAGATATTTGTATGGATTTATGAGATTCCTTCTTGGCGTTCTCTAGATTTTCCTCAGCCCCGGCGGGCTGGGCAGCAACCAGCCTGCAAAGGAGGAGCAGGGAGACATCTGGACAACCGGGAGAAGAAGGGAAAGGCGGAGAGGGAACTCTTTGCTCCTTCTGATGCAGAGTGATGGGGACGGAGGGATCTCTTCCCACACACGGAGCAGAGCCGGGCGACTCCTGGATGAGCGTAAGACAGGGAGGGAGGGTCGGGGTTTGGGGTGGGACTCGGGACCCCCCTCACCTCTGCCGAAGGGCCTCCCGCTGCCCGGGGGTGGCGGCCGCGCTCTCCGCCCGCAGCGCATCCACCTGGAACGGGGACAAACGGGGGCGGTCAGGGGCCGGGCCGGGCCGTGTCCCCCCGGTATAGCCCCGGTCCGGCCCGGTACCTGCTCCCGCAGCTCCCGGCTCCGGCGCTGCACCCGCTGGAGCGGCCCCCGCGCCCGCCGCTCCGACATCGTCACCGGGCAACGGGAGCGGGGCCGGCGCCGCCCGATGACGGACCGGGGCGGGGCCGGGCGGGGGTGCGCCCGTCCCGGGGTGCAGGGATTCACCAGATCGCGGGGTGCAGGGATTCACCAGATCGCGGGGTGCAGGGATTCACCAGATCCCGGGGTGCAGGGATTCACCAGATCCCGGGGTGCAGGGATTCACCAGATCGCGGGGTGCAGGGATTCACCCGGTCCCGGGGTGCAGGGATTCACCAGATCCCGGGGTGCAGGGATTCACCCGACCTCGGGGCTCAGCCGGTCCACGGATTCCCCGATCCCGGGGCTCAGCCCGGGCAGGGATTCACCCGATCCCGGGGCTCAGCGGGTCCAGGGATCCATCCGGTCTCGGGGCTCAGCGGGTCAAGGGATTCACCCGATCCCTGGGCTCAGCCAGTCCAGGGATTCATCCCATCCCGGCGCTCGGTACCGCAGCCCCGGCCCTGCCACTGCGGGAGCTCCCCAAGCTCCAAAACCACCTTCGTACTGAAGAGCCCCGGGAGCATTTATTTGGCTACAAATTATTAGGCGTTTTGTGATCTTAATCACGGGATCGATAAGGTTGGGAAAGAGCTCTGAGATCATCAAGGCCAACCCTCAAGGGGCGCTTTTCCCCCCACCCCAGAACTTTTAAAACTTCATTAATGCAGTTGAAAACCAGTGGCCTGCAACATGCAGTGAATCCCCTGGCACCTCCCAGACTCAAACAAATGCTCTCCTGGAACTCCTTAACTATGGGAAGGGAAGAAGGAACATACTACAGCCTTCTCCACAATTCCTTATCCAAAGTGCCAGGAGGAATTCTGCCTCCAAAGCCAACATCCTACATTTAATTTACAGGTTCACCCTGCCAGCACACGAGCTATTTCACCACCTAATTGTCCCCACGCGCCTCCATAATGAGGGTTGTTACAAGTGCCCATAAGGCACCTTTTCATATTCATTTCAGAAAAAAACACAGCCAGGAACACCATGTCATGATTTTGGCCACTTTATTGTGTCAGCAGTGCTTCCTGGCAAGGGCAGAGCAGCAGGCTCAGAGCTGGACAAGTGCAGACTACCTTTGGAATGGGGCAATCACAGAACCACAGAATCATTTGGGTTGGAAAACACCTCCAGGATTATCGAGTCCAACCTGTGCTGGATCCCCACGTTGTCACCCAGCCGAGAGCACCGAGTGTCACGTCCAGGTGTTCCTTGGACACCTCCAGGGATGGGGAGACTCCACCACCTCCCTGGGCAGCCCTTTCCAGGTCTGGTATCATTGCTCCTGTATCCTCAGTATTTTGTTAGGCCTGTGGACACAGTTTGGGATCCTGCCTTCTGAAGGGTGGAAGAGTAACCCTGGTATTCCACGGATGCTGTCCCTCTCCAGCAGCCCTGCTATTCCACGGATGCTGTCCCTCTCCAGCAGCCCTGCTATTCCACGGATGCTGTCCTTTTCCAGCAGCCCTGCTATTCCACGGATGCCGTCCTTTTCCAGCAGCCCTGCTATTCCACGGACGCCGTCCTTTTCCAGCAGCCCTGCTATTCCATGGACGCCGTCCTTTTCCAGCAGCCCTGCTATTCCATGGACGCTGTCCTTTTCCAGCAGCCCTGGTATTCCATGGACGCTGTCCTTTTCCAGCAGCCCTGGTATTCCATGAATGCCGTCCTTTACCAGCAGCCCTGGTATTCCATGAATGCCGTCCTTTACCAGCAGCCCTGCTATTCCACGCGTGTTATCCTTCCCCAGCAGCGCTCCCACGCCGTCTCCACCACCGGCGGGGTGTGTGGGGGGGGGAGCCCGGCTCCGGTTTTCCCGGATCTCAGGCCGCGTCCAGCTTTTCCTGGGCAGCGGCGAGGCGGCGCTGGAGGTAGCGCTGCCTCCAGCGGAGGAAGCGGCGGCGGAGCCGTCCCGCCTGCCAGCCCACGGCCACGCCGGCCGCGAAGGCGGCGAGCAGCGCCCAGCGCACGGCCCGCGGCCGCAGCGCCTCCAGCACCATCCCCGGCCCCGGGATCCCGATCCCGGGATCCCGATCCTGGCACCGCCTCCCGCTTCCGCCGCGCCGCGGGGCGGGACCGGCCCCGTTAAAGGCGGCGGGGCCGGGGAGGTGCCGCGTTCACCCCCGCCATGGCCGAGCCGCCCGCGCAGGTTCGCCCCGGGGGTCCCTCGCCCCCTTCTTGCCCCCTTTCTCGCCCTCTTCTCCCCCCTTCTTCCTCCCTCCGGTAACTCCTCAGAGCTTACTCTCACCCCCCACACACACCTCCTGACCGTCTCTCCCGTGTTTTCCCTCCCTTCCCGCAGGACCTGCTGCTGGCAGCAGCGTTCGTCTCCGACGCGCAGTACAACAGGAATATTCCCTTCAAGACGTCCCCCGAGGCGGTCAGGTAAGGAGGGTCTCTGTGTGCCCCCCCCCCCCCCCAATCGCGAGGGAACTCCCAAAAAAGCGTGGGGCGCTCGGAGGAGGGTGGGTGCGTGGGCTGCCAGAAGCTGGTCTTAAGCTGAGATGCTTAAAACAGGGCTCAGCCCACTGTTGAGGGTGGGAAAGGGAATTAAAAACTTGTGTCTTGCCGGAGGAATAAAAACAACATAAAGCCTCCCGAACCTCTGCGGGGATGGAGAGTTTGGGAGGCTTGGCTGGCCCCCTCAGCGGCGTGGAAGTGGCAGGGTTTTGTAGCAGGGGGGTCACAGTTGCCCTGTGTGGGAGAAGCCTGTGCCAGGTGGGCACACCTGGCACTTGTTGGCTTGGAACGGGTGACACCATCCCATCACACCCCAGAAATTCAGGTAACCCACGGAGAGTGTGGCACCATTGCTCAGGTGTGCTCCAGAAAGGGCTGTAGCTGCTGGGGGAGCAGTAATTAAAATATTACTTTCATTGTGATAAGTGAAATTCCCCAAGCCAAGAACAGTTTCCCCTGTGATGGTGACTCCCATTTGAGCTGTTGGGGAGAAGCTGAGCAGCTCCAGGCACGCTGAAGTCACTCCTTTTCCTGGGAGACCAAGAGGGGGTCAGTGTGTTTGTCCCAAAGGCTTTGAACAGGTGTGAGCTGCTGTGGAGCTGTAATGCCTCCCTGCTTTGGGAAAACAGTGTTTCATGTGATTTGGTCCTGACACCTGAAGGATTAAACAATCAGGTTTTGCATTGTCACCTCCGGATGGTGTTATTGGAAGCGTAACCTGAAAGCAGGTTGTTATAACCCTGATATTATAATATTAAATAATATTTATAAGGAGGTCAAATAATCTATTTGTATAACATGATAAATATTAAAGAATGTAATACTTGTTATATATCGTATCACTTTTCCTTGAAAGGGAGTATAGTAATATAATTGGAATATAAAGGGAGTATAATAATATAATTGGAAGCAAATTGCCAACATCCTGGCTGGCAAAAATATTTGTTTGTGGTGCATTTGGTGAGCCCCTGGGGATGTGCCCTGAAGCCTTTGTTTATGGTGCCTCTGCCCTCTTTCTCCAGGCTTTATTATCTCTACAACCACTGGATGATGAGAACAGCCACCTACTTCTTCATCTTTCTCAACCTGTCCCTGGCCATGTTTGAAGAGCCTGCTGTGTACCCGCTCCCCTTCCTGGTGAGTTTTTGGGGTGGAGGCAGCAAGGGTTTCCTGCTGGAGAGGAGTTGTCAGAGGTATCAAGAGATAATGGATGGAGAGAGGCTGCTTACAAGGGCCTGGAGGGACAGGATGAGGGGGAAAGGCTTCAAACTGCCAGAGAGCAGGTTTAAATTGGATACTGGGAAGAAATTCTTGGCTGTGAGGGTGATGGGGCCCTGGCACAGGTTGCCCAGAGAAGCTGTGGCTGCCCCATCCCTGGAAGTGTCCAGGGCCAGGTTGGACAGGGCTTGGAGCAACCTGGGCTAGTGGAAGGTGTCCCTGCCCATGGCAGGGGGTGGCACTGGATGAACTTTACACATTCCAGCACCTTCCAACCCAAACTATTCCGAGATTCTGTGATATGTTGAAATGGGGACAAAAAAGGGGTACAGGAGCTGGACAGGGACTGTAGGAGCCATTGTGGCCATCAGCAAAGGCCAGTACGACTATGGACAAAGTCATGTTGCTGTTCTCCATCTCAGAGAACAATTCCAGCCTTTGGAGCGATTCCAGTCCCACCCTCACGTGTGAAAGGAGAAGACAAATGTTGCTCTTAGGCCTGACTTCTCTGCAGCCTTTATTTGTTCTGCACCAGTGTGATTGTGACAGGTGTGCTCCTTGAATCCTAAGCAAACCCAAATTTGCTGCCTTTAACCTGCCTGTGGCAGGGAATCCCACAAAAGGAAGCCTGGAACTATTGCTCGGTGCCAGGTAGGTGAGTGTGCAAAACAGCTGACAGCAAACCCCTCCTTTGTGCGGCCTCTGCTTGTTGTTTCTGTGCCTCAACACCCTCATCTGTGCAGGAAGGGGTAGTGCTGCCCCTGGTTGTGCTGACTGAGCCCCTCCTGTCCCTCTGCAGGTCACATCCGTGCTGGAGGTGTTGTGCCTGCTGGTGTTCCTCGGCCGCCTGGCACACTTTGCCACGGTCACCCTGCACAGCGTGTTCTGGAAGGACACCAAGAACATCTGCATCATGGTGGCAATCCTGGTGAGTTGGGCCCAGGGGGAGCCTCTGAGGTCCAAGTGGCCAATGTGGATGTGTTTTTTTTTCCCCTCCTGTTGCTCTCCTGGTATCACAGACCTGACGAGATCCATGGCTAAACCAAGCAGCTCTCACAAACCTGTTGTGCAGGCACCCGCCTTGTGTCAGCACACACTATTTTCTTCTCCATCCAGACATGTTTCCATTATTCCTTCTGGGGTTTTTCCTTCTTTTTCCTGCAGTTATCCCTGACAGACTTGGCTATATATGGGGTCCTCAGGGTGTACGGCGTGAGGAGCATCCGGTGGTCGAGAATTGTGAGGCCCATCTTCCTGATCAACTTTGCGGAGAGTCGCCAGGTGAAGGCCTGCTGGGATGTCCAGGGGCCTGTCTTTCGGACAGCCTGCTGCTTTCTGGGATCCAGGGGATGTAGCAGAAAGGTTTTTGTGCGGAAAAGGCAGAATGTGGGGTCCTGTGAGTGAAGGTTTCTCTCGGAGGTGGGCTGAGATGGACAAAAAGGTGGATTCACACCACCACGGGCTTCAAACCTGTTCTTCCCCGAGTCAGGGGCCAGGTTACTTATTCCTGGAAGTCTCCTGGGTAAACAAGTGTCGTGCTGTTGTCAAACTTGTAGCCCAGATGGGTGATTTGGACTCTGATTCCTCTCATCACGGGGAGATCTTTGCCCTCCTGCCCGAGATCGCTCTGCTCCTGACCTACAAATGAGTAAACTGTCGTGTGGGGGCCTGGGGGAGGGAGCAGTTGAGCTTTAGGACTCAGAGCATGTGTTTTGTGGCCTGGAGTGATGGATTTCAGTTCCTCACTGGTCCCCTGCAGCAAGGGCATCTCAGCAGTGCCTCGGGGCCCTGTCTGGTTCGCTGAGTTTGTGGTGCCATGTGGGTGGGGTCTCTCCTTCTGGGATCTCCCCTGGAGAACAACAAGGAGAGGCCTGGGAGTCCTGCACAGGTTTTATCAGAACAGAGCTGGCACATCTGGTACCTGTGCCCCACTTTGCCTGCCTGTCCCTGTGTGTGGGTTTGATGCAGGTGAGCAGAAAAGGGGTCCCACTTTGGTTCTAAACCCTTCCCTTCCCCCCCGGCAGATCCGGAGAGCCTTCCGCAGCATCCGCAACACGCTGCCAGAGATCACCTACGTCTTCCTGCTCTTCATGTTCAGCCTGCTCATGTTCTCCCTCATGGCCCTGAAGCTCTTTGGAGAGAGGTGTGAACGCTTCTTTTGCTCAGAGCTGGGTGGGGAGAACGCGTGGGATCCTTTGGGCAGGAGGGAGCCCGGAGACTCCCAACGATTATTAGGGAATGCAAGCACTGCTGGTGTGTGCAGCTCCCTCAGTGCTTAACTCCAGACTGTCCTTTTCCTCCTAGGAATCTCCAGACAGCAGAAGGTTTGCCATATTTCAGGAACTACCTGGAAATTGTGTTTGACCTCTACGTGCTGGTGACGACGGCGAACAGCCCGGATGTCATGTATGTCATGTCTGTACCATCAGGGGTCTTTCTCCCATGATATTTCCACACATATATAATGTATTCATGCCAATAGTTTATACTGCTATGCAGCCTTCTTTAATTTGCACAGCACTGTTAAAATTCTGTGAGGTTGGGCTTCCCATCCTCACCTGCTTTGATGGCACCTTCCCAGTGCCAACCAAAATGGGAATCAAAGAGCAGGACAGGGAGGAATGGCACGTTTGTTTGCATGCTGGAGATGGACTGAGCACAACTGGGATGGTACAGGAACCCTGGGAATTTAAACAGAGGAATAAAATGCTGCTCATCCTCTGAGAGCAAGGAAAAAAAGGAGGTCTGAGTGCAGTGAGAGCCTGAGGGCAAAAACCAGCTTATGACTGAGGCATCACCTCAAGTCTCTGCACTTAAATGTGGCCACGCTGGCAGAAGATTAATCTCTGTGCTCTCTCTCCTGCATCACTTCAGTCAGACAAAACAGGATGAAAACCCAGCAGAAGAAAACTGTTCTCTAGCTGAACTAATGCAGTTTTTAGCTTGGGTGTTGCCTGGCTATCACAGCAGCACTTAGAAATCCAGTTGGTAATCTGTTTCCTTGTGGATTCTCTTTCCCTGTGTGTCAGCCTAGCAAGCAGCAATCCCTCTCCCCTTTCTCTAGGATGCCAGCATTTGACTTCAGCTCCTGGTACGCCCTGTTCTTCATCGCCTTCGTCATCGTCAACACCTACATCTTCATGTCTCTCTTCCTGGCTGTGGTGTACAACAACTACAAAAAACACCTCAAGGTAATGCTTGGAGGGGGAATGGCCTGCTGTGCTCTGTAACCTGGTAGGGAAACCTCTGGCTTTCCCTTGGAAATCTCATACTGGGGGGATTGCTGTGAGTTCTGCTGTTGGAATTGAACAACGAACTATTCTGTGGTGCTTTGAACCCAGCAGACAGGAAGCAGATGTCTCTGCAATATCTTGGAGGCTTAGCCCTAGCTCAGAAATGCTGCCTCCATGCAGGGAACTGTTCTCGGATGTTTTTTAAGTGCACAGCACGTTTGTTCTGCCACTGCATGTGCTCTTAAAGCAAAGGAACTGGAAATGGGAAGTCTGAGTAAAGCAGAATTCTTGTCCTACCCAAACTAGGGAGGGGCAGTCTGGGATTTGTGATCAGAGAGCTGGAAATTCCTGGGTGCTCCCACAAGGGGACTGGCTGTTTCTCAGGAAGCAGTCTGGGTGTCCCCAGGGTTCCAGGTTCTTTAGCCTGCTCATAGTCTCTTGGAGAAGAGGATCTCCACCCTGACCTCAGCAGTATTCACTTATGGATGTGTCCAGCACGTGTGGACACATCCTCTTTGCTTCTGTGACCGTGCAGATCCCGTGATCTTTGTCACCTCCTTCCTGTTTGATGCTTCCCTTTGTCTTTCCTTCCGGTTTTTCAGTGCTCTCCCAGCATCCAGAAATCTGTTGATCCTTCCAGAGTGCTGCCTGCCAAACACCCATTCCTCATCACCCTCACTCCCTGTGCTGTACTTTGTATCTAACATCACTCCCAGCGTGTTCCCCTGAGTCTCTTCTCCCTTTTGTGTTGTGAAAATAAGATTATTTATGGAAAAAGGAGGGGGGGATGGGTGACTGGAGCTGCCCGAATCTCGACGCTCTCCCTAGAACGAGATCCGCAAACTCGCCTACATGAAGCGCCGCAAGATGATCGAGGCCTTCAACCTCCTGAAGGAAGAGGAGGGAGAGCAGCTGGTGGTTCGAGAAGCCCGCTGGAAGCAGCTGGTCAAACTGGTGGCTCCTGATATCAGCAACTCCCACCGAGAGCTGCTGCTCCGCATCTCGGACAATGAGCAGAAGGGGTTCGTAGGTGAGCATGTGCCCAAGGGAGTGGGGAGGAGCTGGGGCCGGGAGCCTGATCCTTCAAGGGGTTAGGCACTGGGACTTGTGGTCTCTAATGGTTTGGAATAACAGGATCATTTTAAATGGAAAAGACCCCCAGGATCCTTCAGTCCAACCTTGTCAACTGGCTCAGAGCGCTGAGTGCCGTGTCCGGTCATTCCTTGAGCACCTCCAGGGATGGCGACTCCAGGCCCTTCTTTCTCTTTCCCTCCAGATTCCTGGAGTCCTGAAAGGTTGTCCTTACTGCCTGTGCTGTAGCCCATGTCGTGCACACTGTGGGTGGCTCTTTGTGGCCATTTGACATCAGGCCAAGCTCTCCCTGGTGTGTGGGACCTCCTGTTCCCAGCACAGGATGAGGAAAACCTCCCTTATAATCAGGTTCTTCCGAGCAGTGGCTCCCCACGCAGTCCTCCAGATCCTCTCGCTCTGCTGCTGCTGCTGTGGGAATATCAGGAGGGATGGGTCAGTCTCCTCGTGTGGGATCATTCTGTGGTGGTTGTTGCCCCGTGGTTTGAGCCAATCCCCCCGGGATGGGCTGGAGGAGCTGTTTGAGTGCCACGTTCAGCCTGTTGCGGACACCACTTGGGGCACGGGCATGGCTGCTGCTGCGAGCAGATCTGCCTTTGCCAGACGCCGTGTTCTTGTTTAACACCAGCAGACTGACGTGTGGCGCTCTCCCCTGCTGCAGACAAGAAGAGCTTCGTGCAGCTGGCAGACCTGCTCAACATCCAGGTGGTGACGCTGAAGCTGCGCAGCCACCCCCTGGCGCGGTGGGTGCCCCGCGTGTACGGCTCGGCGGCCAGTCGGCTCCTGCGCGGCCTGGTCAGGCACAGGTGAGGCTCCCGTGGCCCGAGGCTCACCTGGAGGTTGCACACAGGGTTTAGGCTGGGCTTCTGTGCACAGCTCTGCTCTCTGCCTGCCTTCAGTGGACTGCTGGCGAGTCCACGCCTCGTCCAGTCCCACTTGTTCAGCTCTGGTGCAGGTGCTGGGTGTAACAGGGTTTGTGGCCTGCCTTGAAGGACCAGACTAAGGCCTTCACTGAAAGCTGAGCTGACCTCAGCAGTCTCTGCAGCAAAGCTGCCTTGTGCTGCCTCATCAGCTCTTACAATGAGCTGTAATTCCCTGTTTCATCTCAGGGTCTTCCCAGAATTCCAAAATTGCTGAGGTTGGAAGGAACATCTAGAGAGATTGTCTGGTGTGACCCCCCTGCTCAAAGCAAGGTCAGCTGCAGTAGAATATTGAGGGCTATGTCTAGTTGGATCCAAAGTATCTCCAAGGATGGAGACTCCATAATTTCTCTGCAGCCCATTCCAGTGTTTGACCACCCTCCATTAAAAAAAAACCCAACAGACCTTTTTTGTTGAAATGGAAGTTCCTGTATTTCAACTTGTGCCCTTTGCCTCTCATGCTTTCACTGGACACCACTGGGAAGAGTCTGGCTCCATCTTCCCTACACCTTCCCATCAGGTATTTAGACATACTGAGCTGCTCCTGACCCTTCTCCTTGTCAGGCTGGACAACCCCAGCTCTCCCAGCATATCCTGTGTGTCAGACTGTCCTGTCCTTCCATTGGATTTGTGACCCTTGGATGCACTAGTTCCAGTGTGTTCAGGTCTCTCTTGTACTGGGCAGCCCAGCTGACACAGCACTCCAGTACTGAGCAGATGGGAAAAATCACCTCCCTGGACTTGTTAACATCACTCTCCAATTTTTGTGTCAGGCTTCAAGAGGAAAACTAAACTCCTCAGTAACTTCCCTAAGCTCTCAGGTTTGGGGAGAACAGATGGGTGAAGAATGTTTGAGAGAGGAGGCAAAGAACTTCAGAAGTGACTGTGTAACTTTGACCCTCTTGGGAGTGACAAACTGATCTCTCTCTCTTCTTGCAGGGCTTTTGTTTGGACTTACGATGCGATCATCCTGATAAACGCCATCTTCATCGCTCTGGATGAGGAGACCCCTTACATCTCCTACGCCGAGTGGGTGTTCCTGGCTCTGTACGTCACCGAGATCCTCCTGAAGGTGTACACGTACGAACCGAGGGCCTTCTTCGGGAAAACCCAGTTCTGGAACTGGTGAGTGCAGCGGGACGGGGTCCGTGCTGAAGGTGCTGTGAGGTGTGGTGAGGTCTCTGTGCTCAGCTCCTCGAGGACTGAGCGGCTCCTGGAGAGAGGAGAGATGGGCTGCCCCACTCCCGTGCGGGGGGTGTTGTGGCGATGTGAGTCAGAGGATGTTGTGCTCTTTCCTGGCTCTGCACTGCTGTTCTCTGCCCTGACCAAGGGGACTCTGCAGCACGTGAAGATGGTGGGCGAGGGAAGGAGTTTTACTAAACGAAACTTCCCCATCTGCCCACGGTCTGAGGTGGCACAGGGCTGCCTGGCACAGCTGTGAGGAAGAGGGGTCGCTCCTTGTTTCAGGCCCTTCCCCATCACCCCAAATCTAACAGCGCTGCCTTCCCTCGTGCCAGGTTTGACACTCTCATCATCTTTGCTGCCCTGACTGCAACGATTCTCAATGCCACCCTGAAGTCGAGTAAGTGCAGCTTTAGCAGCCTGCATGCCTGGGCATCCTGGTGGTCTCCATCAGCCTTCTGCCATCACCTCGGGCTTGGGTGGCTTTTGGACAGGACAAGGAATTTCCTGGAGGGTTTCTAAGAACTAACACGATCTTTCTCTTTCCCTTTTTCTTTTTTTTTTTTTTTTTTTTTTTTTTTTTTTTTTTTTTTTTTTTTTTTTTTTTTTTGTAGCTCCCTGTTACAGTGTTTAACAAGGACATAATAGCAATGAATTGATGAGCTTTATCTTAATGCTTCCCTGCTTATTTTTCATAATGAACATGTCTTTTTTTTTGTTTGTTTGTTTCTTTTCTCAGCCACGAAGTACAACAGCCAGCAGATCCTGGACATCGTGTTCATCCTCCGGGTCCTCCGGCTGATCCGGATTGTTGACAGCATTCAGAGGTAACGCAGAGAACAGGGTGGGGAGGTGGTTTTTGGGGAGGGGGTGGGTGCTCTGTGCCAGAAGCTGGCTGAGACAGTGCCTTGAGTGCCCTGCATGGCCCCTTTGTGGCCACTCCACAAAGCCTCCCAGGGCCTTGTCCCAGCATGCCTGGGATGAGCCCAGTTGCTGCAGCCTCTCTGGAGGCTTGGTTTATTCGTGTGGGGAGCATTTGGTGGCTGGAGTGGGACAATAAAAATGGCAAAGAGCCTCCCCACAGCAGGTGTTGTGACTCGTTCGCTGCAGGTTCCGGGTCATCATGAACACCCTGATAAACATCGTCCCGACAATGCTGACTTTTGGTGGGCTGACTCTGGTAAGAAATCCTGGTCTCTCAGCTCAAAGCACTCCAGTTTGACAGGAATGTGTCTTAACTCTCCCACTTGTGCTGTTTCCAAGGGGATAAATGCAAATCCCTGGATGGCAGGCCCTTGGAACTGTAAGTGTCCGTTTGATCCATGGTCATTGCTTAGGCAAATGTGTGCAGAGGGGCTGGGTTCCTGCTGGATCAGGATCTTCTTTAGATCCATGGGGCAGTGAAGGTGTTCTGGCTTTGCATCAGAAGGAATCAAACGTGGTTTGGGCAAGAGGCTGAATGAGAAACCTGGTTCTCAAACGATTTCCTAGAAGCGGCTTCTGTTGTGATTTGGGAACGCTTCCTTTCCGTGTATTTATAGTTCTTGGCTTATTATTCCTGCCTGGTGGCTGCTGTGGGGTGGCTTGGGTCTCTTGGACTCTGTGCTGCTCCCCAGCACCTCACTGTGCCTGTGGAAACCGGGAAACCTGCTGGGATGCTCAGCTTGCCCTGGAGCTTGCTGCTTGCTGGAGAAAGCAGGTGACGGGGGTTTCTCTTCCCAGGTTGTGTACTGTGTGTTTGCTATCATTGGCATGGAGCTATTCCACGGGAAGATCCAGTTCTTCCCTGCCGACTCGAACGCTCCTCACGCCCTGGAGTGCGGGAACCCGGCTCTGAAGGATTCCCTGTTTGCCCGGGGGAAGTACTGCAAGAACAACTTCAACGACTTCGCCTCGTCCTTCATCGTCCTCATGGAGCTCACCGTGGTCAACCAGTGGCACGATATCCTTTGGGGTCCCACCTGGAGCTTGGGGAGCAGGACTCGGTGATCCTTGTGGGCCCTTTCCAACTCGGGTTATCCTGGAATCCGTGCTCTGCTTTTCCACCGGTGCTACACATGGACAGACAATGGGGAAGTGGTCTGTGCTGCGTGGGGTTTCTTTGGGTGGTCTTTCCTGGTTTCTCCCTCAGCGCCTTGTTCTCCTCCTGCCCTCTCGTCCTTAACTCCCACTGCACTCTTTGCCAACGGATTTGCCAACGTGACGGTTCAGCCTGCCAAGCTGTACTTCATTGCCTTCCACATTGTGATGGTGATAATCATTGTCAAGTGAGTTTTGGGTTGGTTTCACCCACTCTGGAGGGAAGAGGGGCCCATTCCCCTGCCAGGGCACTGCTGGTGGTCCCAGGGTCACCCCTGCTGTGCCATCCCTGAGATGGGTGGGACATGTTCAGAGGGATCTGCTACATCCTTGTCCTCACTGAGTGCTGCTCTGTCTTAGAGCTCCCCATCTCCAACAGATGGAGTGCTGGGAAACGAGCGTGGGAATGCTGAGACAGTCGGTGGTGCCAGTAAGGAAATGCTGCCGTGTAATTCTGCTCCTCACTTCTTTCAGCATCTTTGTGTCCTTCATCTTGGAAGCTTTCTTTGTGGAGTACTCCCTGGAGAAGAGCGAAGTGGAAACTGCCATCGAGCAGAAAATCCAGGAGCTGGGAATGGGAGTTCAAGAGTGAGTACCCCTTGAAATGGGTAGTGCTGGGTGTGGCTGACGGGGGCTGTGGGACTGGAGGGAAGAGCCACCCTCTGTGTTGAGGTGTGAGCTGAGCCTCCTCTTCCTTGTTACAGAGTTGTGGCTCCTCAGCCATGCAGCCCATGGGCATTGTCCTCCCTTGGCTTTTCCAGCCCAGGGTTCCTGCCCAGAGGACGGGAGACGTGCTGGGCATTAACCCCATGGCTGGTGTTCTCCCTGCCCTGGAGAACCCATCACTGCTGGGATCACGTGGGACCCTGGGATAGGGTGTGCCCCCCTTCCCAGGGTAACTTCCAGCCCTTCCTGTGCAGGGATGAGCTCCAGGATGAACAGCTCCTTGATAACATGGAGAGTGACGAGCACGAACTCGAGGGGGAAGGTGGGACGAAGCCACAGCCCAAAGGGCTCGTGTTTAAAATTGCCTCCAAAAGTAAGTGTGTCCCTCCAGTGTGTCCAGGCCTTTTGGGGAATCTCCCAAGCCTTCCTGCTCCTTTTGGGCTATAAAAGCAGCTAAAACCCCCCTGGAGGCTTTGGGAGAAATGCAGACACTAATGTTTGTTTGCTGTTTCTTTTTATTTCTGTAGCACCTTTTCCTCTCCTACGTCGGCCCTTCTGTGTTCCTTGTCCTCATTTAACCACCCTCTGAAGACACTGCCTTGGTGGCTGAGTAGTTCCTGCATTGCCAAGAATCCTGCTTTCCTTTCTCCTTCCTCTATGGACTTTGCATTCCTCCTGGCTTGGATCACGGGGTGACTATATCCTCCTTTCTGCTACTATTTTTCCTTCTTCTCCTGGCTCTCTTGCTGTTCCTCAGCAGCTCCCCAAGATCCCTCTTGGCTGGCTGGGATCAGGTGTCCATTGTGAGGGAATAGAAGGGGTCAAAATCCTAAATAGTGGTCTTATGTGTGGGAATAGGGGGGGCTCAAAATCCTAAATAATGGTTTTATCCTCGACGAGCACCCACAGTGCTTAAAGTATAAATATAAGTATTTATAAATATACATAACTATTTTTATAAGTACTTCTAAATATTTATAAAGTGGAAATATAAGTATTTATATACTTTATATATATATATATATATGAAGTATATATCCCTTGGAATGTAATCTGGGGCATTTTCTTGTCCCCCCAGGATACAGGACGGTGGATGCTCTGCTCCAGCGCATGTTTGAGGCAGAGATTCCCCTGGAGGACGAAGGCCCTTCCTTGGAAGAGATCCTGAACTTGTCCCCCAGCGCTGCCATTCCCAGGAATCCTAATTCCGAGAGCGTGGCGTGAGGGGTGGATTGGGAAGGAGGAGCCGATTCCCGGCTGTCCAAGTCCCTGGAGTTTTGTTCCCTGGCTGCTCACGTGTGGGGGGCCTGGGTCACGCGGTGGAAGGGGCAGCTGGTGCCCCAAAACCAGCTCCGTCATGTAAAGGAGCTTTATCCCATGTCCAGTGTATAAATGCTGGGATTGGAAGGCAGAGGGGGGTCGGGGGACCCGGCTGTGCCGGAGTCAGGATGTTATGGGATAAGTACTTTTGTAACTGGAACTCTGTATGGCAGCACTTTCCTATGCAGCTCTGGAGCAGTGTACACTGAGGGAAGAGGCTCTGGAGCACAGTAAATCCAGCAGTGTGCAAAAACAATGGAGTGTCTTGGAGTTACTGGTGGGAGAGAGCTTGGGGGTCCTGGGAACAATCCTGGAATGGGGGCAGGAGAGGGGGCTGCTCCTCACTCTGATGCTGCTGAGTGCACAGCCTGACCCAGGGCTGGGAGAAATCCCAATGGGACTGGGTTTGGGCTTGGTTTTCTCCTGGTTTTTTTTTTTTTTTTTTTGCCCAAAACAAACTTTTCAAAGCTGAGAGTGAGGCAAGTGCCAGGGAAGAAAACTCCAAGGGGGTGATAGGAAGGGCTTTCTCCCAGGCCAGGGCACTGTTGAGGCTGGAATGACTTAAAAATGTTTGTTGTCACTCTCTCATTTCCCAGCCTGGAGCACAGTTTGTGTTCCCTGAATTGGATGTGGAGTGTGGAGGTCTCATATGCAGGGAGCAGCGTAGGCAACACGAGCAGGATGTTGGAAGACCTGTTCCTTAGCTTTCCTCCCGTGGCTCTGAGTCTCTTTCCTAACTTGTGACCCGTGTCAGGTGGTGGGGTTTCTTTAGTTCGGTCTGGTTTTTCTCGATCAAACGAAAAGAGTGGGTTTTACCACGGGAAGGATTAAGGAGGTTTTAAAAAAGGTTGGAGAGAGTTGTCCAATGTTTCCGTCAGGCTTTTCACAAGTCAACCCCTTGGGTCCTGCCGGGACTGACAGAGAGAGCAGCCAATGGAACCGTGAGGGAGGCG